CCCCCCTGGTAGGGGGGAGGGGGGGGGGGTGCAGCCACCCCAGCTGTTCAGCTAAACTCAATCTTCTCTGCAAAAACGGACCCAAGAGAAAATCCTGGAAAAAACCCTGGTAGCACAAACTGTTCAAGTTTTAATATAACGCCTGGGTAACAAGATACCTAAATGAAGGTACATAGAGGTATTTCAATTAAGGGGTGGACCATTAGATATCCTGAGAGGGGGGTGGCAGATGCAAAAAAAATTCATGCAAGGAGTTGAACTAGAAAAAAATTCCTGCAAGCACTTGGGGAAAGAAAAAAAAATTTGTGCAACTTCATGAGAAATCCAAGTGAAATCCAATTGAGCACGGGCAGATTAATAACAAATATGGCTCATTTTCAGATATTTGTAACTTTACAGTACATGTACATGTACATGCTGCACAGTATGTACATGCTGTAAAACATTTAATAACGTCAATAACATTGTAGATTGAAAATGAGTTTATATATAGAGCATAAATGTACACTTATTATTAATTTTTAAAAAACTAATACACTGTAATAGGGGTGCACCAGAAGTTTTTTTTATATATATGGGATTGAATGAAAAAATAATACATTCACTATTCTGGAATTTACTATTTTCCACACAAGAATGAATGTTCAAGTATTTCTTGTATTTATGCTTGACACCTTCTATGAAACTGACACCTTCTATGATACGTATTATTTGTAATATATTAAACTTTCATATGATTGCTCAATATGGAAATTTCGTGCCAGTACACAGTAGTTGCTTGGTAGCCTCCTCCACAGACATCTCACCCTGGGAACCTGGTGGTCGAAAAGTCGCAGGCCTGGGGAGGAGGCTAGTTGCTTGGCTACATAGCCGCCATTTTTTGCCTATCGTTAAACATAGAAAAAAAATAGGTAAAGCCTTTCAAAAATAATTCTGGTTCACAAACAATAATATTCAGGGGACTGTATTCTATCGATTTATTTCATTGGAAAGATTATAATCTTCCTCGTCTCGCTACGACCTGATTGCAACTGAATTTACATATTAGCCTCAATCAATAATGATATTAAATTGCAATGGATTACTATGACTTGTTTTAAGCAATACATATATCTACATTAAGTAGCAGATTAAGCAACTGCTGTGCGGCACTGCGCTGGGAACTTGCAACACCACGGAACTTACTTACACCACGCTCATGCAAATCATGCAAGGAACCTTCTGACTCAGCTGGAGGGGAATTCCCTTCCTTTCCCACCCGGTAGAGCTTGAATCTCTAACGGGTAAAATTTCTGGACCAGTCTTTTCAGGTAAACTGGTCTACCCTTCCCTGCAACTCTTACCTTGGCCCCTCTAACTTCCTTGTCCTGACCTATAATTAGCTCTTCTACTTTCGCTAATTTCCAATTATCTCGTTTCTCTCCTCCATACACTGTCACTACATCTCCCTTCTTCACATTCTTTCTCGCATTTCCACTCTTACATTTATGAAATTCTCTCAACCCTGTCAGATACTCACTTTGCCACCTCTTCCAGAAATGTTGTAATTTCAACGTAATATACTTAAATATATCTCCACAGCTACGTTCCTCTCTAACTACTTCCCTCCGTGGTATGAAGTTAATAGCTCTACCATAAATTAGGTGTGACGGTGTCAAAACTTCTCCTTCACACTCTTCATACTCATCTGTTAATGGTCAAGCATTTAATGTACCCTCTATCTCTACTAGCACTGTGGTAAGTTCATCGACTGTCAATTTGGCATTACCTAGTTTCTAGAACCTTTCTAAGACACCGTTTAACACTCCGAACCATTCTCTCAAAAAATCCTCCCCACCAAGGCGCTCTTTCTAAATTAAACCTCCACGTTACTCATTTGGTTTGCAATTCCGCCTTTACCTTAGGTTGGTTAAACAACCGTCTAACTGCCCTTTCTGCTGCCTTAAACGTTTTGGCATTGTCAGATACTATAAGGCTTGGCATTCCTCTCCTGGCAGCAAATCTCCGTAGACAACGTAAAAATGTCTCACAACAAGAAAACAATGCTATATAAACCTTACTTGGACATTTTGCAGAACACTTTACAAACAATGGACCTGCAAAATCTATTCTCATATTAGAAAAGGGTGCAGCTTCCCTA